ACAGGTCTCCAACTAGACTCTGCACCGCTGATCACCACTCTCTGGGCTCTGCCATCCAGCCAGTTCCTAATCCATCTCACTGTGCACTCATCTATCCCACGCTTCCAGAGCTTGCCCAGGAGGATGTTGTGAGGGACGGTGTCAAAAGCTTTGGTGAAGTCGAGATAGACGACATCCACCGCTCTCCCCTCATCTATCGAGCTGGTCATTTCATCATAGAAGGCTATCAGGTTAATCAAGCAAGATTTCCCCTTGGTGAATCCATGCTGACTACTCTTGAGCACCTTCTTGTCCTCCATGTGCCCGGAGACAACAGCCAGTATGAGCCATTCCATCACTTTTCCGGGGACGGAGGTGAGGCTGACTGGCCTGTAGTTGCCTGGGTCCTCCTTCTTGCCTTTTTTGAAGACTGGCGTGACATTGGCCTTCTTCCAGTCTTCCAGCACCATCCCCGTTCTCCAGGATCTTTCCAAGATGATGGAGAGCGGCTTAGCTATGGCATATCAGGGCCCATGGATTTGTGGGTATCGAGTTTCCTTAGGTGCTCTCTGACCCAATCTTCCTCTACCCAGGGCGAGTCTTCCTCTCTCCAGGCTTAAGTGAGTGGGCATTAAAGGGGAGAAGTTAGTGCAGGCTGCAGAGGTGCCCTCTCCCTTTGCCCTCTGCAAGCCAGTGGCTTTCTTTAGGTGGTGGGCAGGCCGCCTCTTGGATTGCTTTCAGGTTGCTTGTCAGAGCTGCTCCAATCTGTATAAGGTAGCTCTTGTGTTGGTCCTGAAAGTCAGAAGTAAATCTGCTCATCTGCAATGGCCGCGTTCACCACACGATTCTTGCTGCTGTAGCTAAGTAGAGCGCAGACAGATGGCTGTGAAGGTGGAACGTATCCTGATTTTAGAAAACTATTTCTTTCCGATGGAGTGGTTAGGAGTGTTCTTGGCAACACAGAGCATCTGCTTTAGAGTCCTGTGCTTACAGCTATTTTCCCTCTTGTTCCCAGAGTCGGTCCCAAGTTTAGCAATAGCCCAACGCTGATCTGGCGACACCAGCAGTGTGACACAGAGCCTCCAAACTGGAGGTGCTGACATGGGCTTTTGGGTGCACAGTTGCCAATACTAAGGAGGGTGTACTCTTAGATAGACAGATATATAATGACAGCCTCTCTCTTTACTGAACGGAGATACAGAAATTGAGTCATCAAATTAACCTCTGCAATAAAAGTTACTTTCAAGACACTTTCCCCAGTATAATAATAATGTGGAAAAGACTTGGGTTGTGATGGACTCATCTGTCTTACGCTTCTGATTAGGATAAGGGGAAAAGTAGATCTACTGTGAGGACTGGATTCTCGGCTCTTCTGTAATGTGGGTGAAGTGCCCCTCCAGAAGCAGGAAGGATGTGTGCAACACACCGCAGATCTCTTACTGCTGTATGTGCTAACCCCCAGCAAGACCTGCTCCCTGCTTGTCCCAGTCCTGCGCGTGCACATGGGCATTGGTGTGTCACTACCTATTTGCCAGTCTGAAATGCACTTTTTGCATCCGAATATTCAAAATACAGAAGTTTTTTTCTTTGTTTTGCTTTCTTTTGTGCTTGAGGGGGTAGGATTAGTAATTGATGATAAACAATTTAAATGGGTGGGGAAAATCTGAGGTGACTTTGGCAGAGGTTTCAGTCAAGCTTGTCTGGCTTGGCCCTGAAGGACGCTGTGCTCTCAGGATCATGCAGTCTCTCCACAGCTGTACACATAGCTTCCAATACTTGCTATAAGAGAAGCACATATGTCGTGGAGTTAGTATATAGATCCAACCCCAGGCTTCCACAGGACGAGTTAAGTGGCATAAATGCACAGAGTAACTTTTTGCTGTCCCTTTGGTCTTCTTTCTATCCCTATGGTCTGGGATAGCCTTTTTGTACAGCATTAACCTAGGATTGAACAACAAATCAAGCAGCAGAATTTCCATTCTATTAGCTTCTGACCTGTTAGCCTTGTTCAGATATTAAATATTTGATGTTCAAATACTAATAAACTTGTTCAAATACAAAACTCATTCAGTTTTGTTAGAGAAAAATATGGAAATGCTTTCAGGCCTTATAGATTTTAGTGGAGTAGCAGTTTAGATCTGGGTCTGCTTGTAGATATAATTCTAATGCTAAGAACAGAATAACGATCAGAAGAGTAGCCATTTTACCATGTGTCACGAAAGCATTATCTTACTGAAGAACTATAACATCCAGGCGGCCCGTGTGCACCTTGGAGCTGGATCCTACGCTCTCTGGGAGCAAGTAGGAAAAGTAGGAACAAAGGCTGGGGACTAGATCACCCAACAAGGTATCAGAAACAGCATATCCTCCTCTTGGGCCCAGCTCATGCCTTCATGAAAATAATTACCCTTCTTGGCATCTCAGCTTGCTCACCTACAAAAGAAATGGTGATAATTCTTTGGTTCCCTAGTTTAATCATTTTCCTGGTATTAGGCTAGCTTAATCGGTGGCAATAAATCATTTTGCCCTGTGGCCACTGCACAATGCTATAGGGAAAGAATATCAGGGAGTTTCCTTTTTTTATCCTCAGTTTCTGCCAAGCAGCAGTTCAGGAACTGCTTAATTCAGAATTTGCATTGGGACAATTATGTTTAATCAGCAGAGATGGACACATTTTCTGAAAACTTGCCTAATCAGGCCATTTCTTAAGCTACTGATAGCAGTCAGTTCTGATCTAATTAGCATTGTATGAAAACAGCACTTCCTTCTGCTCCCAACCTGCCACCTTCTCGCTTTGTTTGCTGCTGTCTATTATTTCTTGTGCTTATGGAAAAGGGTGATTCGCTGTTTCCTTCCATTCTCTGGTTTTCTTCTAATTTTGAGAGACCTTGAGCATATTTTCATGGCTCTTCCATGTGGTTGTTGTTGTTTCCCCTTCAGTCCAGGGAGGCCCATTCTGCATGGGAGCACAAGTTCCAAGCTTAATACTGTGACTTGGCAGCAATCCTTAATTTGATGTTTTTAATCAAAGCTGTGCCTTGCCTGTGCTTTCAGGTTCCGACAACTCATTGCTGAGTATGAACCAGAAGTGCAGGAAATATCACGGCTCTTCCGCTCCGTCCTGCAGGAAGCCGCTGAGAAGATCAAAGAGGAGGAAGAGGCCAAGAAGCTCGCCAGGCAGTGGAACACAAAGAACAAAACCAGCCTCTCCTTAACATCGTTTAAATCCCGCTCCAGGATTTCCCCGTTCATCAGTGACATCAAGACCATCTCTGAGGACGTGGAACGGGGCACTCAGCCTACAAGGAGGGTTTGGAGCATGCCAGAATTTCGGAACACAAAGGATTACTGACTCTGTACAGAACAAGGTTTTTAGAGAGTGATCTTTTAAATTCCCCATTAACCCTTTTTTATCTTTGCCATTTCTTCTTTGTTCCAGCTCTCTCTTCCCGTCTGCCTCTCATGGAAGCTGTGTCCATAGTAACTGCTGCTAACGCACGCGGTCTGTGACACAATTTATTACCAAATATGTTAGCCCTTCCTTTCATTGCGTAGGTCTCAGTAACCCTAAGGACAGGGGTCACTATCTCATTTTTATTACCGCTTTCTTGTGGAAGATGAATTAGTTTTGTGAATTGGTTTTGTGATGTGTCTCTCCTCCCCACCGCCTGGATGTAGTTACCATAAAGGCTTCTGGCCAAAGCTAGTGAGAGCTGTTGGTTACAGCGCTCTTGCTGAAAGCGAGGAGGCTGCTTGAGTGAGCAGGGCTTGCAGGATCAGGCCTCTGAGTTTAAACTGAACTTTCCTGACTACTGAACCTTCCTTAGTGCTACAGGAGCCTTTTCACATGCAAATACAGCACTGCTTTTGATCAGATTTTTTTTTTTGGCTGATAATTATTTAGCAATCAAACCCAAGTGGAAACAGACCCAAGGTTTTTGAGATGGAGAAGCACCTTTGCTCCACAACAACCAGTTTGTGCATGCTCAGGTTTCTTGGGTATGTTCTTTCATCACCCCTGAACCTAACACGTGCAGAGCAGATAGATAGAAATCTAACAACCTGCTGCACAGACACCCCAGCACCTCCATCAGCGCTGTGTCAAGCCCACTGCTCCATCCTTGCTGTTCTATGTTGTTAAGTGCTCCACCCCGTGTCCCACTAATAACCCAGGGCTCCAAATTAATACTTATCACTGAACTTGGAAGGGTAGTGGAGTATCACTCCAGAGAGGAGGAGGGTGAAGGGAATTGGCCCCACCTACAAGGCTCTTTGTACAGGCCCAAGAGTTGGAGTCACTTTGACAAGCTGCTGCTCTGAGCAACCCAAAGGCTCTGGGGGATGAAGGGCTCTTCCCTAATCCTTCCCCGACAAGTGCTCAGCAGGGAGGTTTCTGGGCAGCAGCGGCCTGTGGCCTGTGAGCTGCCCCTAAGGAGAACCTAACTCTGCAACCTCAGGGAGAACTCTCACCAGCAGAGGAAAGGGAAGAGCACTCTGAGAATGGTGGTTCCTGGAGAGAAGCTGAGCGCTAGGAGGCTCCATGGGAGCACCAGGACGTGGGGAAGGCAGATCTGCCTGCAGGCTTGGCTTCTGGAGAGGCATCCCAGTGGGATGTAGCCTTCTGGAGCACCTCCTAGTTCTGTTGTTCTTTTGCCTGGTTCTGACTCCTTTCCCTGGGGATCGCTGCAGCAGCATGTGGGCACTACAGCCAAGTACTACCCTTTGAGGCTGTGCCAACGCTGGGATGAATTCCAGCATTTGAAATCTATCCTAGACTACAAATCTACACATTCTTCCAGTGATGAGGGAGACCTGCATAAGATAAAAACCAACATCAACTCCTCAACAGCTCTCTAAGACTGTGGGTTTGGGACTCTTTCTATTCTGGCTGATCTTCATGAAAAACCTCAGGGCTTCCAGCACCCACTTTGAGCTGGGCAACTTCCATTCCAGGTCAATGAGAGAGAGGTTAAGGCCTTCCGACAATCAGCTTGGAGTTTTTCAGTTGTGTGTCCTTGTGCTGTAATATGTGACTGGGTAGATGAGGTGAAAACAAAAGCTTGTCATATTTAGCATAGTCTTAGTTAGCTAGAAGCTGTGTAATATTTAAGCAAGGGATCACCACAATTTGGAAAAAAAAATCTTGTTTTTTACAAGTTAAGCATCTTTGTATTTATTTGCAAGACACTGTATGGTCCTGAAGGTCCAGAGGGGGTCCTGACTTTCACCCTAGGGCTTATTTTATTTGCATTTGTGTCTGTTTTGACACCTTCAGTATTGAGTGTATTGATGCAATATGTAATGGACAGCTAGGAGCGGAGGGTCATTCAGACACAGTGCTGTAAAG